TGTCTGGTTTCATTTCTTTGTTGAGACTGTAGCGATTGATACAAATGAATGGCTTGCTAGACTATTTCAGAGGACAACTGAGAGTCAACCACATTGCTGTGGGTCTGGAGTCTTGGGCTAATGAACCAGATGACTTTTTCTGACAATTAAAAATGGTTTTGTGGTCATCAGTAGATTCTTAATCCCAGATATGTTTTATTGAATTCAAATTCCACCATCTGCTGTGGCAGGATTTGAACCTGAGTCCCCAGATCATTTGCTGAGTGTCTGGATTAATATAAAACAAAGAACTGCAGATGCTAGAAATCTGAAACAGAAACTGCTGGGGAAAGACACTGGACTCAAAACATTAACTCTGTTTTCTCCCCATGGATGCTACCAGACTTGCTGTGTTTCTCCAGCAATTTCTATTTCTGTCTGGATTAATAGGCTAACCATAATACCATAGGTCATTGTCTCCCCGCCACTGCCTTCTCACCATTGTCTAGATAACAAAAATTACAGACAGGAGGTTCCCAATACATTGGGCAGCAGTCATTTCAATGCATTCAATTTCAGCTCAGACATGAGTGACATAGTCTGCAAAAGTTGACACCTCTTCCTTCTAGAGGTCTAGTTAACCTTTTGTTCCATTTCTCACAAAATTCTGTGGACAAATTTGAACAGAAATTTTGGATTCCAAGATGAACCAGTGAGATGCCGAATTCTGCACTACAATAAACAGCATTAAACAGTGAAATTTCAATGTAAATGTTAAAATATTGCGTCAAATTGCTAGAAATTAATCATTATTTCTGTTTTGTAACTTCAATTTGTAGCATCCTTTTAATGCAAAGAAGCTGTGTAGTCTATGGTGCACAAATTTAAGACATTATTAACACAATGTTGGAAACAATTCTTCATACGACTACAACCTCTATTATCATAATAAGCCAACCAAGGATGCCTGGCAAGAAATGATGACACTGGACCACATTAGGAAATATTGGGTCAGACAACCAAAACATTGATCATTGAGGTAGGTTTCAGGAAGTGTCATAACGGAGGAGAGCAAAACAGAAAGGCAGACAGCTACAATGAGGATACTCCAAAGTTTGGGGTCTAGGCAACTGAAGGTAAGGCCACCAATGCTGGAACAATTAAAATTTGGGGCTGCACAAGAGAAAGTATAGAAGCATAGATGTCTCAAAAGCTGAAAGGCTAGATAATATTACAGAAATGAGATAGGGACAAGACCATGGACATATTTTTGAACGTGAAGATTAGAATTTAAAAATTAAGACTTTGCTTGACTGGGAGCTGAAGTGAGTCAGCAAGCACAAGGTGAAAGGGAAAGGAGCTCCCTGCAAATTAAAACATGGACAGAACTTTGAACCCTTCCATGTTTACAGAGGTAGAATGTGGGACTCCAGACAAAATTCATTAAGATAGTCAACTCTGCAGGTAACAGAGATGTAAATGGGTGTTTCAGTCTGCAGCAGGCGAATTGAGACAGAGGTGAATTCAGGAGATGTTACAAAGGTGAAACAGCAGTCCGAGTGATGGCATGAGGAGATGGTCAGTACACCTTTTGATTTCAATGGCAGTAAGTTTGGAGATCAACAGGCTTAATCTTAGTGCTGGATCAGGATGGAGTCAGTAGCCGGCCAAACCCCCATGGCTTCAATCTTCCCAATATTTGATTGTTAGAAATTGAATTTAAAAATACAGCATCCCTCTGAGAAGTCTTGTGGTTCAGTGGTAGCATCTCTACCTCTGTCCCAGGAGGCATGCATTCAAGACCAACCTACTCCCGAGATGTAAAGAGGTCAAGTGAAAATGAACTACAGCACCCTTCTGCCAGCTATTTCAACAAAACCATTTGAACCAGATTTGCATCTTCTCTAAAAAAAAAGAAATATATATAAGCCTGTCAAATGTTTGCCATTGATATTGCTAATAGTTATGTCTATCCATCATTCAACAAATGGCCACTGTAAATATCATTTACCATTTCAATATTCACTTTTTCCCTGCATTGTAATTTAGCTAGTCAGCAAAATAAAAACAGCAACAATCTTTTAAATTATCTCTTTTTTGAATACATTATCACGTGTCCACCTACGATTACATGTCTGTCATAAGGATACAATGTGCAGTTATCCCAGGTTATTCCCCTAAAAGGTCAGTTAATAATTGAAGCAGGGTGAAACAGACAAGGTCAGCTTCTTGTTTCTCTTAAAGCAAAAATTTGTGTGTGGTACTTGCTCTCAACAGTGTGGCTAAAACCTGAATAAATCCCCACATCAGGAACAGTGGAAGACAGCCCTAAGGCACAATTCTGTAGCCTTTTGATTGCAAGGCAAGCAGTCAGTCGCTTGAACTATCTGGCAACAAGCCATTTTGTTACCTGCCTCTTCTTAAAATGAATGGAAAATGTTGAACAATGCTCATGTTATGCAACACAATATTAATTCATAACAAAAATTATTCACAGACAGATATCTCTAAATGTTGTGTTTAGTTTTGTGTTACCGCATCAAAGATATTTTGAGTTGAAGAAAGGTACAGGAAACATAAAGTGTAAGTGAGCTATGAAGAATAGGTAAACTTTATAGTCCAGAAGGCAGATAATTAATTTGGAACTCACCAAAATATATGAAACCTGATACATTCTCTGGTATAACTTATTTTAATTCAAATTAATTCTTCAAAGTTTGCATAGAATATCTGCCAATAAGACAAAAAAAAACAATATTGAGAGCTGAGCAGATTTATCTATTCTTAGTGAACAGATTAATCAGAGGCCAAGCCCTATAAGTTGAGAACAGGCCAAGTATGTATGGAAGTTCCTCTCAATTCTACTTATGTGACCATTGGAATTGTTCACCTATTCATTTGACAATAGTTCTGCATGAGCAATCCTCTCTATTGACCACCATACAAGGCTGACTGCACTATTGGTTGAACTATTGGTGGGCTTGTTGTGACCATTCTCTTTTAGGATAGGGATGTAAAGGGTCTGCTTGGACTGGAGTGATAGAGGAGAACTACTTGACAGTCTAACAAGAAGAGGCTCATCTTAAATAAAAGTTTGTTGGACGCCAGCAACTAAGTACAAGTTACACTGATATGATAAACATTGTAACAGAGACTATGAGGAAGACACACATAGTGACACTTATTTCTTCAATATTATAAGCTGTTCTCCCACCAAGTTTATAGTGGGTGATGCTTAAGGCAGTCTTCAGTATTAACACTTTCAGCCTTGCATATTTCCCTATCCCCCAACCACTGCTCTCTCCCCACCAAGGCTTTTTCTCTCAATGTTAATACTATACTTCTTATATATATATATATTTTTACATTTACCACTATCACATCTCTCTGCAAATCTCTAACTTTACAAATTCAGGCAGCCTGGATGTTTCAGTATTCTCCTAGACTGTATTCATTTTGCACTTGAAAGATTGTAGATCTCTGGGTTGAAGACTGATGACTTCAATTCTGTTCTTAACAGTGTGTAATCTGAAAGTCTCTTCAAATTGGAGGATCTTTAACCTCTTGGACTTGCTTGGTGGAGGACATCTTTTCTGCTGAAAGAGGCAATTGCTCCATTGCAATACTTCTTCTCGCTATACTGGTTTCTCGTGTCACTATAGGTTTTGTCCTTTAAGAATTGAATGAATTCTGTGAATTCTAAACTCCTGTGATAAGGTTGATCTTCTCCTCTTAGGATTGAATTATGTTGCTTCAGATTTGACTTTCTAGATTTTAGCTTTGCTCACCATCCATATGGCTCTCTCTACAGTAGATCTTCTTTTAACTGTCATAAATTTGACAAAGAATCGTTAGCAATTCAACAATTCTACCTCTAATGAATTCTAGTTTTCAATCACCATTGCCATGTTTTTCCACTGGTATTTTGAGATCATTAATGAAATTATCTATGGATTACTCTGCATGCTGAACTCTTCTGTTGCTCTTTAACATGAGAATAAATAAAATATTCTAAAGTAACTTTCAATGGCTTTCAGTGCTTCTTCAGAAGTACCTGTTATTTCTTTTACACCTTGGTAGCTGTAATGTCATCAGCTATACTCCCAATTGTATACAGAAGTATATTAGTTTGTTCAGCTTCCAACTTACTATCTATTTTTGAAACTAATCAGTTACTTAACAATTGTTTTCTTCAAGGGTCCAATTCTGCATTTGATTTAGCTAATCTCTGAATTAAATCAGCATCGAAGCTATGACTTCTTAATTTGATTACTTATCTTCCCTTCCTATATTTATTTTTTTTTAAATTGCAATAACTAATATTCCAGTTTCAGGAAATTCATGACTCTTCTACTACATCATCTCTCTTACCAAGTCTGGAATGTTTTTATCAATGCCTTTAGATTCTCCCACATGAATATTTAACATTTGTCAACATCTCCACCTCACTGGAAATATTTAAAGTCCGCATCATCATAGTGAAAACAATAATCTTTTAAATGGTATTTATTGGTCAATATATTTTATTTTAATGAAGCATACATGATGCTGTGCCTAGTGATGTAACCAGGTTATAGTCCAACAGGTTTATTTGAAATCACACAAGCTTTTGGAACGTCGCTGACGAAGGGGCTGTGCTCCAAAAGCTTGTGTGAGTTCAAATAAACCTATTGGACTATAACCTAGTGTCATGTGACTTCTGGCTTGGTTCACCCCAGTCCAGCATGGGCACGTCCACATCATAGTGATGTGACCAGCACAAACCTTAATAAGGCAGAAAAATTAAGCTGAACTTTCAATATGACTGTGATGAAACACGTTATAAAAAGCAAATGTGTGTACATGTGTTAGTGAACTGAAATGAGATCGTAAGTGACACAAGCCTCAGGCCTGCAGACTAGAATACTGTTAGAAACCCATAACTGCCCTACAGCTGTCTAACTTTGTCATCGATAATGAGTTATTGATTTTACTACAGAATGTTAATGGTAGAACAGAAAAAAAAATTCACAGTTCAACAATTGACACTTAGACATTTTTATTCCAGAAAATATATTCCTGTATAACATACATACATACATACAATACTGGTATGCGACTTTCTTACAAAACAGAGCTCCAAAGTCTTTTATTATTTAATTGCCATTTGGGACAAGGATGCTGCTAAAATAGACAATGTTAATATTAAAGATTTAAACATTCCCTGATATGAAAAAACATAACCAGTGAAAAAAAAATTGTTCCTCTATATCTGTGAAGGACTCTTTCAAGCAGGGCCATAAAATCATTAAAACTCTACATCCAGTGCTGTCTGTGAGAGATGGAGCTAAGGGAGTCAGAAGAATGAAGGTTTAAAGTCCCACTCCATAGACTTGCACACAAAATCTCTGCCATTATTCCAGAGCAGCACTGTCAGAGGTGCTTTCTTTCAGATGAAATGATAAATGAAAAAAGACATTAAAGCTGAATTGGTATTAGTTCAAAGAGCAGCTGGGGAGTTATGTCCAATGTCCCAGTGAGTATGTATCCCTGAACCAAATCCTAAAAACCCATTTCCTGCTCATTATCACATTGCTGTATGTAAGAGTTTGCTGCCATGGGTTATCTACTGTAACAGTAACTATACTTCAAAAGTACACCATTGCCTTGAGATGTCCTGAGGTCATAAGAGGTGCCACATTAAACTAAATGTTTATTTTATTCTTTTATCTCCGAATATTTAAAATTCAAATGCAATGGCATGCTACATGTCTGTACAAACAAGTCATTTCAATTTGATCATATACCAAAATTTCACAATTCTAGCATTGTTCTGGAACTTGTACTTAAACCAATTATTCCACATGCAAAGTCTCAACACACTTAAAGAAATAACTCAGGAAGTGTAATACCAGTCTTAAATATTAGAAATCATCTATGAAGAACAGTGTCCTGATTCCTTTTTAATATAAATTATGTATAAACGTAAATTAAAATAACTTTTGTATTCATGAACAGTGCCAAATAATCTGAGAATTCAAGTTGAAAATTAGCTCTGCTGCATGATTAAATATGCAGAAATACAAATTTAATAATGTGAAAAGACAATCCTATTAAAGAACTTTTACTAAAACATATTGATGGATTTTGGTTATGTAGATTTCAGAATTGATAAGGTTAAAGGGAGATTTAATGGAGATGGTCAAATTTAACAGGTTTTAGTTAGAGTAAATGAAGATAACCTACATGAAGAATCAATTATGAAAAGACACCAAGTTAAGCAAAGGTTTAGCACAAATAACTAGGTAAAAGGGAGGATAGTTTATATTTTTAGGCAGCAAGTTAGTGTAAGCCAAATGTGCCGTTTGAAAAAGGGATAGAAGTAGACTCAATATTAACTTCCTAGAGGTATTTTAATAAATACATTTGAAAAGAAAACATTTGAAGGACAGAGGGAATTTTATTTTGGCAATGCTAGTAATCCCAATTGTAAGACACTTGCAAAGATCCAGTACAGATGCAACAGGCTAAATGGCCTCTTGCTGCACCATAACAGTCAGAAGTGTGAAAGGGTGTTGAAGTCACAATGTTCTTTACTTGCAGTGGGGTTGGTTAGCTCACTTGTCTGGATGCCTGGTTTGTGATACAGAGTGATGTTAACAGTGCAGGTCCGATTCCTATATCCACTGCTCTGTACCACGGAACCATCAATTCTTGCACTGGCTGAAGGTTACCATGAAGGTCCACCTTCTCAACATCTCCCCTCACCTAAGGCATCGTGACCGTCAGGTTAAACTCACCACCAGTCATCTCTCTCTAATGAGAAAGCAGTGACATAACTTTTATCTTGGGCATCTCCTCACAGCTGCATAAACCGAAATGGATAATTTTGATTGTAGGGAGAGGGTGTCGATGGGTGCTTAACCTACATTCCTCCATTCCATTGTATTAAAGGTCTTGAGTAGTTGTGTTTCAGCCCATGTTTCTCCAATTACCGCCTTTAATTGCATCATTTAGATTGCATTCATCTTACTGTTAGTGATTGAATAGCAAGAATAGATATTCCCAACGAAACACACTGACCTTTCCATTATGTCTTATCCAGAACAATAACATCTGCATGACCAGAAGAGAATGTAAGATCAGCATCTTTTGTTCATACCCTACTCTTCTAGAATTTGTCAGGCTTAGGGCTGCAGCAGATTTCTTCTATCTTAGCCAATGATTCATTGAAATCATGATCAATCAGCCTTGGGAAAATGTGCCAGTTCAGAACAAGTAAAACACAGGCAGTTTCAATTTGACTAGAAAACATTAGCTAAACTGCGATATGTGGGCTTACGAAGACAAGAACAGGAGTGGATCAGTCACACGTGCTTATTCCGCCATAGCATACGTTTGCCTGCCTTTGATGGGATGATTCTCTTACCTATAAGAAACTCTATTGGCCCAAGTCTTGGATTTCACTTGTTAAGTTGTGGTAACCTTCTGGTGAACCTTCAAGGTTAATGAATCCTTCCTGAGAAGTGGTGTCCAAAACCAAACACAGTATTTGAGGTGAGATAGGTCCAAGGCTCTGAACCATCAATTCGTCACCTTTGAAATTGGCTTATTCATACTGACTGATTTCACAGTGAAGAAGCTTAGTGATAGAACGCAAGACTTACAGTTTGTCCAGGGAAATGCATATTCCACCGCATGACTCCCTGGGACAAAATCCCAACGTCATTCCAGCTGTCCATTACCTTTCTCAAAGTGAGGGGAAACGCGTCTACAAAGTGGTGTCAATATTTTGAATTTACGGACTGAATACATACAAATAACCAGTTAGTGTGATTCTGAAATTAAGAATTAATCATCAGCAAAATTGTCATATATATATCGTATAACAGCCAGCAAGTTTGTAGATATACAGTACATAATGAATAGGACAATAATTAGACAACATTTTAATCTCTAATATTTTATATAGTACAGTTTCAGAAAGAGATGAAGTGTGTAAAAATATTTTTAAATTCCTCTGTTTATAAAAAAAAAATATATATAGCAGGAAATCAGATAAGTTAATAAAACCATTTACCACCTTCGCAATGTTTGCATCATAAAGAAAAGCTTTGTCTAAAAATGTACCAGTTTTCAGCTCTATTGAATAAATATTTAATCAACCACAGTTGTTTTTTTTGTGCACTACCAGAAAGGACTGAGAACATCTGTTTTAATTTTCGCAGCAAAGTAGTTAAATTGAAAGAAATAAATTACAAGCACAATGAGTACTATATACATAACACTGTACATGAAGCACCTTCAAACCCAATTTGGGATCACTTGGTAAAAGTTTAAGAATGGTTTAAAGATTGTATTTTTAATTGGGTCCTCTTCCTCTTTGAAATTGCCAGCTAGTGGCAACCACATGATCTTACCACCATGTTTCTATATTTCTTTAATATTACATTTGAACTGTCATCAAAGTACAACACAGAGATTGCATTTAGCTTAGTTGGTGCACAGCAAGGTTTGGGGACGTTGTCAGGGAACATCAAGTGAACCTGCAAGTGGAAACAAAATTCTTAAATAAACAGACATGTTCCAAATTTGTGTAGGCTGAGAAAAATACAAGTTCCTGAACTATTTGATGACAGATTGATTCATAAGCCATGAACACCTGTTGGAGCAAACTCATGATCACAAAATCTCATAAAAAAGCATGGCTAACTTATCTAGCACTCTATAGAATATTATTTAAGTGCTCACTCAGCCCCTAAATCCTGGTCTGCCATTTAATGATGAACCAGCAGCATCTTCAGAATCTGATGAACTGTCTCTCAGGGCTCAATTACACTCAATTGAAAGTCACACTTTAATGACACAGGAAGACTAAGTTTATATAGTCCTGTGGTCCTTAGCTGCTGGGTGTACTTCAATTTCTGAGCCTATCTGCTGTCGTAGACATACACCCAATGTTTGAGCTAAGAAACAATTAGAAATTTGGCCTCCTCATAATTTTGGTTATAAAGGGTCACTGTGTAAAAAATGGAATATTTTATGCTTTAAAAATGCTGGGTTTGTTTTTGTCAGAAACCCAGACCCATCACTGAAGCAGAGAGGAGAGAACACAAGAGTTGCTTTTGTATTGATATTTTTGTGACAATATCCTAACAATAAAGAGTACAACCAACCTAGCACTGGAATTTTTAAAAATTATATTTTAACATTTGCATATTCCTCTTCACCATACCATACCAAATAGATGAATGAAATAGAGATAGTAGGAACTGCAGATGCTGGAGAATCCGAGACAACAAGGTGCAGGGCTGGATGAACACAGCAGACCAAGCAGCATCATAGGAGCAGAGAGGCTGACGTTTCGGACCTAGACCCTTCATCAGAAAAGGGGGAGGGGAAGGGGGTTTTGAAATAAATAGGGAGAGAGTGGGAGGCGGATAGAAGAGGGATAGAGGAGAGAATAGGTGCAGAGGAAACAAACAGGTCGAAGAGGCGGGGATGGAGCCAGGAAAGGTGAGTGTAGGTAGGGAGTTAGGAAGGGGATAGGTCAGTCCAGGGAGGACGGACAGGTCAAGGGGGCAGGATGAGGTTGGTCGGTAGGAGATGGAGGTGCGGCTTGAGGTGGGAGGAGGGGATAGGTGGGAGGAAGAACAGGTTAGGGAGGCAGGGACGAGCTGGACTGGTTTTGGGATGCGGTAGGGGGAGGGGAGATTTTGAAACTTGTGAAATCCACATTGATACCATTGGGCTGCAGGGTTCCCAAGCGGAATATGAGTTGCTGTTCCTGCAACCTTCGGGTGGCATCGTTGTGGCACTGCAGGAGGCCCAGGATGGACATGTCGTCTGAGGAATGGGAGGGGGAGTTGAAATGGTTCGCGACTGGGAGGTGCAGTTGTTTGTTGCGAACCGAGCGTAGGTGTTCTGCAAAGCGGTCCCCGAGTCTCCGCTTGGTTTCCCCGATGTAGAGGAAGCCACACCGGGTACAGCGGATGCAGTATACCACATTGGCAGATGTGCAGGTGAACATCTGCTTGATGTGGAAAGTCTTCTTGGGGCCTGGGATGGGGGTGAGGGAGGAGGTATGGGGGCAGGTGTAGCACTTCCTGCGGTTGCAGGGAAAAGTGCCGGGTGTGGTGGAGCTGGAGGGGAGTGTGGAGCGGACAAGGGAGTCACGGAGAGAGTTGTCCCTCCGGAAAGCAGATAAAGGTGGGGAGGGAAAGATGTCTTTGGTGGTGGGGTCGGATTGCAGATGGCGGAAGTGTCGGAGGATGATGCGTTGGATCCGGAGGTTGGTGGGGTGGTACGTGAGGACGAGGGGGATTCTTTTTTGGTTTTTATTGCGTGGACGGGGTGTGAGGGATGAGGTGCGGGAGATGTGGGAGACACGGTTGAGGGCGTTCTCGACCACCGAGGAGGGGAAGTTACGGTCCTTGAAAAACGAGGACAACTGAGATGTACGGGAGTGGAATGCCTCATCCTGGGAGCAGATGCGGCGGAGGCGAAGGAATTGGGAATAGGGGATAGCATTTTTGCAGGAAGGTGGGTGGGAGGAGGAGTATTCTAGGTAGCTGTGGGAGTCGGTGGGCTTGAAATGAATATCGGTTTCCAGGTGGTTGCCTGATATGGAGACAGAGAGGTCCAGGAAGGGGAGAGAGGTGTTAGAGATGGTCCAGGTAAACTTAAGGTTGGGGTGGAAGGTGTTAGTGAAGTGTATGAACTGTTCGAGCTCCTCGTGGGAGCACGAGGCGGCGCCGATACAGTCATCAATGTAACGGAGGAAGAGGTGGGGTTTAGGGCCGGTGTAGGTACGGAAGAGGGATTGTTCCACGTAACCTACAAAGAGGCAGGCGTAGCTTGGGCCCATGCGGGTACCCATGGCTACCCCCTTTGTCTGTAGGAAGTGGGAGGAATTGAAAGAGAAGTTGTTGAGTGTGAGGACGAGTTCGGCTAAGCGGATGAGGGTATCAGTGGAGGGGGACTGGTCGGGCCTGCGGGACAGGAAGAAGCGGAGGGCCTTAAGGCCATCTGCATGGGGAATGCAGGTGTAGAGGGACTGGACATCCATGGTAAAGATGAGGTGTTGGGGACCGGGGAATTGGAAGTTCTGGAGGAGGTGGAGGGCGTGGGTGGTGTCACGGACATAGGTAGGGAGTTCCTGGACCAAGGGGGAGAAAATGGAGTCTAGATAGTTGGAGATCAGTTCGGTGGGGCAGGAGCAGGCGGAGACAATGGGTCGACCAGGGCATTCAGGTTTGTGGATTTTGGGAAGGAGATAGAAGCGGGCAGTGCGAGGTTGGGGAACGATGAGGTTGGAGGCCGTGGGTGGGAGGTCACCTGAGGTGTGACCAAGGGGGAGAAAATGGAGTCTAGATAGTTGGAGATGAAATAGCTTCTCTAAAGGATTATCGCTTTCAAGGATATTTGGCTTGTCAAAACTATTCAAGAGTTCAGAGTTTTTCAATCCTAATTCTCCACCACTGCTGCTTAATTCCAACATAACACTGGTAACATACTAACAATGCATTCATTAAACTTTAGCCAATTCAATAAAATATGGTTTGCTAGAATTTGGCTCAAAAAGATTATAAATTCCAATTGCATCTACATCATGGAAAATTAAGGAAAACAGATCTGACAAGCTTCACAGACTGACATCTGAGATTATGAACTTAGAACAAAGAACAGTACAGCACAGGAAAAGGCTCTTTGGACAACCAAAACTACGCTGACACATGATGCCGTTTTAAACTAAAAACCTTTTGCCTCTATGCAGTCCATATCCCTCTATTCCCTGCCTATTCACATATTTGGCAAGATGCCTCTTAAACATTGCTTTTGTACCCGCCTCCACCACCTCCCCTGGTAGCTCATTCAGGCAGTTACCACTGTCTGTGTAAAAAAATTTGCCTCTCACATCTCCTTTAAACTTACTTTTTTACCTGAAACCTTTGTCTCCTGGTCACTGACATTTCTACCGTGGGAAAAAGGACTCCGACTATCCATTCTGACCATGCCTTTCATAATTTTGCAAATGTTTATCAGGTCGCCCCTCATCCTTTGAAGTTCACGTGAAGAAAACCATTCAAAAGTTATGAATACAAATTTAGAAGATTATAGCACATACCAGTGTTTGCACAATTGCATGGTTTGTAGCGTTCATGTGAGCATTGAGTGGAAAAGAGCACTCTCCATCACAGTAGAAAGCTGCATAACCCTCTGGGGCTATGATCCAATCCTAGAAACATATTAGGCAATTACATTAGTTATTTCAATATGGTAAAAAGAACTATCTATCCTTTCTGAAAAATCCATTAGTCACATCTTATGAGCGACATACCCTTAAATGTCTTGATTAAATCAATTGGAATCTTGCGTGCTAATTTTGAAAATGCTAACATATTTTAAATATACTAAACACCTTACAGAAAACTTTCCATGGTCAATGTGAAACTGGTAGGTCACTTCTCTGTTTGCACCAACCCCATTATTTTGAGTATTTTGTAACCAGCCTGAAAATGTATTCTTCAAAAACACTAGCTGTCATGAAATGTTTTCAGCAGACCCGCACATCATTTTCGTCCATTATTTTGAGAGCAGAGACAGGAAATATTGAGTTTATTTATTAAATTTGTGCTACTGCTTTATATGGTTTCAGCACTGTTTTGTACTGCAGGCAAACCTATATCGTTTTCCATTCACAAACTTGTGGTTAGCTGTTCACTATATAATCTAAAAACCTCCAAAATTCAGAAATGACTAGATACAAAGCATTCCATACAGGAGAGGTTATCATATACTTAAAAAAAGGTTTGTTGATGATTTAGACCCTCTTCAAGCACAGAAGTACGTACATGTTACAAAAATGTACCATGCCAGAGATATTGAAAATGCAGCCAATATAACGTTGGGAATCATTGGCACACTCGCCAAGGTGACTGACATTAATCTATCCACCCTTCTGAGCACCCTTTGGACTTAACTTATAGGAAAAGTGTTGATTTTGATCATTAGTTTACAAGTATAACAGAACTGCAAGGCCTCACTGGTATACACAAAGTGGTAAGGACAGTTTTAAAGAATGTTTCCAGGTCTTGTACAACATTGACCTTCTATTTATAGGAACTAAAAATTGACCGTTGCAAGCTGTTCTAGAAGATTCTGACTGGAATCCCAGGAGGAATTCTGCTGGAATCTAGAATATAAGGACAGTAAGCCCGAGCCCAGGTATCCCAACTCCTGCAGCTCAATTTTTGGGCCTGATCAACATCAGAAATGAAGGAGGACGGGCCCCAAAAATTACCAGGGGAGTTGAGCACCAGCTTCAGGAAAGAGCTGCTCTGGTTCAGGCCCAGCAGTCACACAAGGCAAGCAGACAACTAGGTTGGCTAAGAGAATTGTCAAAGGAGGTCAAGTGGGAATCTCCAGGTTTTGAAGTGGGGTTGATGGGGGATTTTGTCACAGCTGTCCTGATGGGTCTGTATGCACACTCTGTCTGTCAGCTTGCAGGGGTAGAACTGAAGGGCACCCCTATACAGTGTTTCACCATCTCACTGCCCACATTATTAGCTGTAAAACAGATGCGTGAGCACCCTGCTTAGCTCAGACTGCAGCCAGAAGGCTTCTGACCAGTCCTACAGATTCAAGACTCCACCCACCAGCGTTCACTGAGCAGTGAACACTTATCTCCATGTCACTGAAAGGCTCACCATGTGAAAATCCTAACCTTAATAAGATTCTCACTAGAGCAGGGCTGGATTCAGGAGCCGAATACCAGTTTCGAACCTCTCTTTGGGAAAAATTTCACCTGGCTTCCATACATTAAGAACCAAACAAACCAAAATTGAAGAAACTACAAAATCTGTTTTAATGCACCAATCCATTTCCTAACCGGTTGCTCATAGCAACATCCAGCAGATTAATCCAGGTCAATGCTGAAGGATGTATATGTGGAAAAGGTAAAGGTCTGAATGAAGGTTCAGTTGACATATTCTGTCTACAGACTTAAACAAAGGCTCTTCCCTTTAAGCAGTTAAACAGAGCAAGATTCTGGTCAAATTAAAGGAAAATGTGGATCTCTTAAAACATTGCACAGTCAAAGTAATATGTAGAGTACATTTAGACTGAGGAGCAGGAATAGAGGAAGCAACTAGAGGGCCCAGAAATACAAGCCTGAAAATGTAAATGTCCTTTGGTAATATTTGCTAGATTAAGCAATAGCAGCAATGCATCCAAAATAGAAGTTTTTCTCTATGTTGAAACTGTTACAGTTTGTAAGTATCAACAATAAAGACTGTAATGTTTTTGGACCTCTGGTATTCAAACTATTTTTTAAAAGACATCTGCCCTTAATGATGCCAGATTCACTGAGCTCTAAAATATGGAAAAATGTTGAAAGATGAGAACCAGGTTTTAACATACGCTGCACAAATCTTTATCGGAGAAGAGATTCAAGTGGCAATTCTCTGCCTGTTGTCACTGTATTGTCAGCAGGATTTGGACAAGTGGTGGCGAGGAAATAGGGTTCTAAGCCATTCTGCCTGGTTCCAGCTGCAGTGATGCTTGGAGGTGACCTTGTTACACATAGCACACCTGTTTTCACTTATGTAACTGATCCAAAGTGTAATAGTTACTGCATGACAATGCAGGCTTGTGGATTTTCAGACAAAGGTCCTACCAAACAGTACATCTGTCATTAGAAATGGATGTTAATGATCGACTAGTCCCAGTTTTATGGAGTTGGAGGGCATATCTTGAAATTATGATTTGTCTTTTAGATCAAACTGTTTCCTTTTTAAATACACACAACCGCTGGGGCTGAAGGTTAACCTCAAATACAATGAGCATGAATGAGGAGGCTGAGGTAATTGAAAAACCAGATACTGGGAATCCAACAACTGCATTTTTAGTTTTAATGGTTGGGACCCAGACACTACTTTGCTCCCTTAATTTAGGCAAGTCTGTAATTTAAATATTTTATCGAGGTTCATATTTTAAGTGCAATTTAATTTCAATGTTTATGGGCTGAGTGTCCCAGGGCTTGAGAAAAGGCAGCTGAAATAAGGTGGGAAGAAGTTTCCATCACAGATTTTGGACCGAGAGGAGAGGAATTGTCTCTTTCAGGTCTCCCAAGCCAGCCCCCAAAACAATAACCCGCCAATAAATCAAAATCCCTGCATGATCTCCCACCTGATTGCTTCACTCCACAAATACGCCATGATATTTCCACATGTATTTCTGACAGTTCTATCTGCATCCCCTCCCCTTCGCAAACACCTACACCTCTTGGGCCCCTAATCACTTGCCCCTGTACACGATCTTTCTGATCCTGTCTGCTGATCTCTCAAGCCTCTCACCATCTATCTCTATGGCTCCCATGATCTAACTCTTTCCTGCAATTGCTCACCGCAATAGCCCCATCCTTCCCAGTGATCCACTGGGGACACTTCCTGCAGGTTTTATGGTCCCTCCTCCATGGTCTCTGCCTGTTCTCTCCAGCCCTTGACTGTCCAAGTCTCCTCTGTCTGATCTGGATCTGTACAACATTGATCACGGACATAAATCACACACCTCGTTATGCATAATTTTCTGTTCTTTCCTCACTCTTCTCCGTCTGGTAAAGTCATAACATCAAGCCCAATACTCTGAATCACTGAGGCAGAGGTCAATACTGTGGATTCAGCATTGAGTCAAAGTATGACGTGAAATGCCCATCACCCTCAGTCCTGCCACCTCAAAGAAGTGCCGGGATAATGCTCCTATAAAATAATTCTGAATCATTCACCAGAAAAAGTACAGCACAAAAAAATGCCATTGATTACCTGCCACCCTAAGTCCCGAAAACTCACATACAGTTCATGCTTCTTGCAAGCTTGCTTCTGCTCACTGCTGTTGTAATCTGTTAAATGAAAGACTGGCATTAGTGTGCAGTCAAAACAAACACAAACACCATACTGATAGCATCACAACACTCTTGTGCATCCGACCAATGGATTATAAATCTTTACTGCTCACACCCTGTCGGTGGAGCATTTAAACAGGTTTGTTCTGAAATTCCTTAGGGTGTAGTAGTTGATTGCCCAGAAGTGACAACCTGGGAAAGTCCGACTCTGAGAAAATAAACAGCTCGATGGCCATAAAATGAGCTGGGGTGGAGGAAGTCCCAGCCAGGAAAAGACAAGCTCAAATCATGAGTTTCGAACATAAGGGAACCACCACTGTCTGACATAAAATTCAGCCCATTACCTTAGACATTGAAACTAGGGCCAGGCATTCGGCATTAAGTAGCCTACTACTCTCCCAGAATTCGGTGGAGGAAACGTGTTCCTGGCAGGAGACAAGCTGCCCATGATTACTGCTTGTGTAAGGAGCTCAGCATTCAACGTTGAAGTTAACATCTGCAGACAATTTTGCTACAGTTTTAAACTATCCACATTTGGTTTTGGATCACCCAAATGCCTCACTTGCTACAGGTTGGCACGGATTAGCACAATCAGATGCTAAATAAGGTGAAGATGCTTTTACCAGCGTCGTTTTAAGGAATCATGCAGTAATTACAAGTTCATTTCTGGTTTGCTATTTCTGGCTACTGGCTGACTTTTGGATGCAATTTTTTGCAGTACTCTAGTACTCTGGAAAGTTCACTTTAATGCACAAAGGGGAGGCATTGTTGGTTTTTCACTTCTATTGCTATTTGTCTTATCAGGCTCCAAAATTGGATGGTCGAATAGGGCTGTCCAGTGGAAATAAAGAATGATTGGGAACTACGAGGAATATACAATGAGTAGGACGAACTACCAGGTAAGGGGAGGAGGTGAGGTGCCAGAGTTGTCATAACAGGCTCCATCATGATAGGTACCTCAATGGTATTACTGCATTCAGCCCAATAAGTACAGGGGCTAGACAAGGCTAATCGATCCTCTGAGTCTGCTCCACCATTCAACAAGATCATGGCTGATTTTACACCTCTACTCCACAATCCTGCATTCCTCAAATCTTGTAATTTCCACAACTCCAATAGACCTATTGATCTCTATTTTCAACCTAATTCAGAAGTGAACATCCTCAGCTGTCTGGAGCAGAGCGTTCCAAAGATTCAAAATCTCAGTCCTACCTGGTTGGCCATGTATTTTGAAATTGTCATCCATGTACTAGGTGAATCAGCTGAGGGAAACATTTCCTCAGCACAAGCCTCATCGAATTCCTTAAGAATTTTAAATGTTTCTACTATCTCATCTCCCATTCTTTTAAAATCCTGGAAGCACAGCCCAAGAGTACTCAATCTCTCCCTCATTCTACAATCCCCTTATTCATAGAACCAACCCACTGAGTGTTTATTGCTCTTTCTCTCTAAGGCTAATACATCCATCTTTGCAGAAGGAGATTAAAACTACAAACAATACTTCAGATTTGGCCTCACGAAAGCCCTGTATAATTGTAGGAAGACTCTTTCCTCTTATGATTCAATCCCTTGGCAAAGAAAAACCTAACATACCATCTGCCTTCCTAATTGCTTGCTGTACTTGCGTCTTAACTTTCTGTGATGCATGTACGAGGCAACCCAGATTCCTTTGATTGGAAAAATTTCCTTGTCTCTTACCATTGAATATATGTCCTGTTTTTTCTTATTGTTTTAAAACCAAGACTTCACACATTGCCACATTTTATTACATTTGCTATGTTTTTGTGCATTCATCATAACCTATGCTCATCTGCAGCCTCACCGTTTACTCTGTGATTTAACTTTATACCATCAGCAAACGTAGACATGTTACCGGTTATGTTACTCATTCAAGTCAATTTTGTGGGATCGATAGGGAGGAGTCCACTTTGATTGAGTTATTTACAGCCCATTGAGGACTACCCTAGCAATAAGGGCCACCCATGTTGGAAGATACATGTTCCCCTAACAATTGACTCGTCTACCTTCAAGACTTCAGGTCTACTCCACCACAGATAGCCTGGGAACTGCTGCAGTTCCAGCACTGGCCACCATTCCCAATGGCAGTGTTGAGACTGAAGAGCTACAGGCCCTCTGATTGGTCAGTAGCTCCTGGAGGAAGGTCGTTCTGGTTTAGAGGGGCAGAAACCACAAGACTGCTATCAAGTAACTGCCTGAACTACATAACATTGAGTCATAGCTGGTGGAAACAGTATTGGTCTCAATTTTCTGGTTGGTGCGCTGGGCCATAACCTCCACCATCCCAGTAATTAGCTACTGTATCAGATTTCTAGCATTTGCAATATACTCCTCTTGTATCTGCTGCAATATCTTGATCAAGTTAAGCAAGCAAAACATGCCTTTAATAATGTCCACTACCTTCCTACCACTGATGATAGACTGAATGTCCTGAAACTTCATTGGTTTCTCTATTTCTTAGTTTCAGTGCTGTGGTATAATATTGTTACCTTTAGTCTTCTGGCACTTCTTCTGAGTGAGATTATTACTCAGAATATTATGATCCCCATAAATTAAAATAACTAAAGTTACTGAATGGCCCCCAAATGAAGAAATAACCAAAAAAATGGAGACACGAGTCAAAATATTCAAAGAACTCATTGGATTCTAGGAGAGTTCCAGTGGTAAACCATTAATGTGATGGCCTGTTCAAGAAGGGACGGAAGCAGGATATTAAAGGCCAGTTAGCTTTAACATCTGACATTGGGAAAATGCTAGAATCCATTGTTAAGGAAGAAAACAGATATAAAACATTGAATACACATGCAAATAGTTTCAAGCATAGCTTCTTCCCCACTGTTATCAGCCTCTCAAAAGTTAATTTGATGTCTCTCTCTCTGCACCTTTTCTGCGGCTCTATTCTGCACTCTGTTCTTCTACCCTAATGCATTTTGTATGGTGTAATGTGCCTGCATAGCACACAAAACAACACTTTTCAATGTATGTCTGTACATGTGACAACAATAAATTAATCAATCAATCACGTTTGATAAGTTACCACACAGAATGTCATTGCACGAGATAGGAGGAGTGCATGGTATTGAGGGAATATATTAGCATGGATTGACGATTGGGTAACACATAGAAGACAGAGTGTCAGTATTAATGGATCGTTTTTCAGAACAGAAAGATGCAACTAGTGAAGTGGCACAAGAATCAGTTCTAGGGCCTCAATTATTTACTCTCTATATGAATGACTCGGTGGGGCAGAGCGTAATATATCCAAATATGCTGAGGATAGAAAAAATAAGTGGGAGGGCATGTTGTGATGTGGACATGAGGATTCAGCAAGGGGATATAGATTCATAGCATAACATAGTAGAGAACAGGCGCTTCATCCCATCAAATCTGAATTATTCCAAAGCTGCATTGGTCCTACTTGCCAGTATTTGGCCCATCGTCTTGAATGCTACGATACTTCAAATGCACATCCAAATGCTTTTCAGAAGTTGTGAATTTCCCAGGCAGTGCATTCCAGATTCCAGCATTCTCTGGGTGAAAACAATTCCTCAAACTGCACCTGCACCCGCACCCCCCCCAATAAACCTTCTGTCTTTCACTGTAAAATTATGTCTGCTTGCTATTTATCCTTCAACTAGGGGAAACAGCTGATTTCTATCTACCCTGTCCATGCCCTTCATAATCTTGTACACCTGAATCAGGTACCCGTTCAGCCTCCTCTGCTCTAAAGGAAATAACCCGAGTTTATCCAGCCTCTCTACGTAGCTGAACTGCTCCATCCCAGGCAACATCCTGGTGAATCTCCTTTGCACCCCTTCCAGTGCAATCACATCTTTCCTATAGTGTGGTGACCATAACTGCACACAGTACTCCAGCCTAACCAAAGTCCTGTACAGCTCCAACATGATGTCCTTGCTCTTATAATCTATGCCATTACTGATAAAGGCAAGTATTCCGTGTGCTTTCTTAACTACCCTACAACTTGTCTTGTGTCTTCAGGGATCTGTGTGGGCAAGTGCCCGAAGATGCTTCCGTTCTTCTGAGCTTCCTAGTGTCTTGCCATTCATTGAATACTCCCTTATTACTTTGTTCAAAGTGTACCACCTCACAGTTATCAGGGTTAAATTCCATCTGCCACTAATCTGCCCATCTGACTAACCCATCTATATCCTCCTGTAAACTGAAACCTTCTTGCTCGCAGTCAACCACCCGGCCAACCTTCATGTCATCCACAAACATATTTATCATCCTCCCCACATTCTCTTCAATGTCATTTCTAAACATCACGATCAATAGGTGACCCAGCACTGATCCCTGTGGGTTAGGTTTCAGTCACACAAACAGCCTACTACCACCACCCTCTGTCTCTTGTCACCAGGACAATTTTGGACCCAACTTGCCAAGTTACCCTGAATCCCATGTGGTTTCACCATCTTTATCAGTCTCCCATTTGAGAACTTGTTGTTTATATCGACTTCAGCAAAGCCTATGACATCAACTGCCCTATCCTCATCTATACACCTGGTCACCTCCTCAAAAAATTCCTTCAGATTTGTTAGGCATGACCTCCTTCTGATAAAGCTATGCTGACTATCCCTGATCAAACCTCACCTCTGCAAGTGGAGATTAATTCACTCCTCAGAATATTCACCAATCATTTCCCTACCATTGATGTGAGACTCACTGGTCTGTAATTCATTGTTTATCTCTTAAAACATGGAATCACATTAGTTATTGTCCAGTCCACTGACACCACCCCCGTGGCCTGAGAGGAATTAAAACTATAGTTCGGAGCCCATGTAATTTCCTCCCACAACTTCCACAGCAGCCTGAGATACAACTCCTCCGATTGTGGGGATTTTAAGCCCTACAACATCTCCAATCCCTCTTCACTCCCTATGTCAATCTGCTCAATAACCTCTCAGTCCCTTTTCCTGAATTGTGTACCTACAACTTTCTTCTCCTGATTGAAAATAGGT